TTAAACAATTTTGCCCACTTGTAGACATTTTTTCGGCTGAAACATGTGGCACCCTACACAGTTGACATTCTCCTATAAATTTCAACTGGTTTACACTCTTCAGTAACCAAAAACTTGATAACTGACCGTTGTTCAATCCTGGAACATGCTTCTTGGTCGGCCATCTTTGTTAATCGCCAAAGTTCTCAAAGTTTTTTTTTCAATTTGCAAAAGAAATTACATCCATGTGAAAAAGAAGTAAAACAACAAAAACAAAAAAGTAAGCTTCTATCTATATTAGAAGTCCTTATACCGAAAAATTCACCTTATTTATTGAATGACCCTCGTATTTGTCTTAGAGTGCGAGCGTTGAACACTGTCAGGGACACTGAACAGTATGACCTGATAAGGATCTGTTGCAGCTAGGCGTCTAGAGGGTGGTGCGGAAAGGTAGCTAAAGATGTTATGATTTTAGTGGCATTACGGGTGTTGTAAATTAAGCTGGGAATTATGGAAGGAAGATTAGTAATGGAACTTGGGATGGAAGTAAGACAAACAAGTGAAAAGCAAAGAAGACACCAGCAGTAGCATGTTTTCGCTTATCCGTCCTGCAGCAGATTACACGATCCTTGATAATCTGCGCGATGCCCGATGCGAAAGATGCTTGAAGTTTGAAGAAATAGTCATGCTTGTACTGTTAGGCGCACGGACTTAAACAAGAGAATTTGAAAGTGTCCCGAATCAAAGCGTTTGGTTCGAAATCCTGTTCGCAAGGCAGCGGATGTGATAATTATCCTGTTTTACAGTTAATGAACGCCATCCCATTTCCAACCCCGAATCTGAAGGATCAGAAGACTGAGTTTGTTTGACCTCCAACGATTGATGAACCTAGTAGCAGTAGCTCTCAAGGACCCTTAGGGCCCCACTCGGTTAGCTCAATAGGTCGATGAGGTTCGCAAACGATCGCACCACGTTAAGGTCCAGTATCGTCAGTAAGCGATACCGACGCTTCGCTGCTGTGCAACCACCACCGGATACTGCGAGAATAGCCCTATCCCTGCACGGGCCCTCGGATTACAAGGCAGGTTTAATAATAATAATAATAATAGGTATATTTCTCAGAAAGGTGAGACACGTTCCAGAGACCCTGGACCGATCATTATGTACAAGTTTTCTCTGAAGCTGAAATTGTTTATCGGATGCGAGGAGATTCGTATTGAGTGGGATGGGATTCAAGTTGTAATGTATTCTTATGCAGCTCCAACTTTCTTCGTTAGCAAGTATCTCATCGTACCGTTGAACGAGTCGTGGTCCGGATCAACGTAAATAGAAGGGAAATAGCAAGTATTAGTAAGTATTAGTGCGATGGAGGTCGAAAACATCCTAGGGAATTATGTGCATGTGTGGAATCGAGAATAATATAGTGTGGGGAGGGTCTCGCAACCAAATTTCTGGACACAGCATAAGGAACAGCAGTATGGGTCTGGCTAACAGGGAAAAATAAGTCCACATTACTGCACAGTGAAAAAAGGGAAATATTTAAGCAAATACCTTATTATTGTATTGCAGATGTTGTTTACAATTAGGAGGCGCAATACGGATTTCGGATCACTTAAGATGTGTGGGTTGTGGGCTGTGAACAAGAATGCCGAACCTTTAGTAGTTTTGCTAACTGCGCTAGGAGTTTGATTATGCAGGGAATTGGTCCAACAGAACGCCAGTGATATGTTTACGAGGTTACAGTAGTCCTGAGTGGCAAACATATTGATGTTGACAATGTGTCGGTTGATTCACCAGCAAGATATGGTCAAGTGAAAACCGAAGCTAAGTGTTGGGGAGCAAGGTGGGTTAAAGATGTAAAGAAAGGATCCGGGTGCTTTACCTACCAAAGCGTCAGTGCTTTCACAAACGAATGGTAGGTGTGCCAGCGGGTGAAACGGAAGTGAAGTTACGATTGGAGAGATAGTTAACCGGACTTGGGAGTCCAGCTAACCAAGTTGCCAGTGATTCAACTGACACATGGTTGCAGTGGAGCCAAGTAAAATCAAGGGGAAGTATAGTGAGCCAAGATGAGATGAAGAGGATAACAGAAGCCTGGACCTCCAACTCATCGATGTATCAGTGGAGCCACTAATCAGCGGTGAGCTTTCGGGCAGGCAGATCCGGAGTGGGCAATAAAAGAGAAGGGTAAGCAGGGAATCAACAGGTGTTTGTTGATCTGACTGATACAGTCAATTGCAACTTTCAGTTATATGTTGTCTGGACCTTGTTCATACGTTTGTTGAATAGTTGTAGGGCAGCGCAGGAGCATAATCACATTGCTGACTGTAAGATATTCGTCAAGCTTTCTACGAAAGTTATACTCAGATGTGCTAGTACGAATATCGGTCGGCAATTTGTTCCAAATACGGGAGTACCGATTTAGGAAAAAGTTTGCTGATATGTTTGTCTTTGACCTTCTTACCATCACAGAATTTTCACTATTGCGTGTATCGTATCCATTTGGTTTCATGAGTGATAAATCAATGCTAGGGGTGTGGACATTTTTGTGCAGGATATTGAAAAAAAGTGCTAAGTTTACTTTTAGGCGTCGAAGCCATATTGGGTCAAGTTTAAGTAAGTCGCATCGCTCAGAATAGGGTAACACTAAGCTCGTACCAATAAGGCGCTTTGTAAACGCTCTTTGTACCTTTTCTATGGCGATACGATCATGTTTCCTGGAATTGCTATACACCATTGAGCAATATTCAAGTAAAGGGCGGGCGAATGATTCATACATTGAACAAATTGAATCTCGTAGAGTAAGATTTTTGAATAGTAATGCAATGCGTTGTTTAGCTCTGGCTGTTGCATAAAATGCTTGTTCTGAGAAGTTAAGGGAATATGAGTAGCGAAGCCCTAGGTCACAGATGGTCTGACAGATAGTAAGTGGTTTGCTATCTAGGGTCAGAGCATTGTGCTTAACATTGCACCTGTATAACATCGCGCTACATTTGTCAGTGTTGAAAGACATTTTCCATGTGTTGCACCAAGCCTCAAGCGCATGGAGGTCCAGTTGGATTTCCATTAGAGTATTGCTGAGGTTGGTAGGATGGAAGGAGTACACTATTTTGATGTCATCGGCGAAAAGATAAGGTGTGCCGCATTTAACTACGCTGAAGACGTCGTTAACGTAAAGTAGAAATAGCAATGGACCAAGAACACTGCCTTGTACCACCCCACTGGTAACAGCCTTGGGTTGAGATTTATGTTGTTGGATTTGTACTATCTGGGAGCGATCTGAGAGATATGAGCTAAACCAAGCCAGTAAGGGGTCCTTTATACCGTAGGTTTGGAGCTTAGCTAGTAGGCGACTATGAGGTACGCGATCGAAAGCTTTTTGCATGTCGAGATAGATGACGATTGCCGATAAGCCACGATCGTGTGAACTGACAAGGTGATTTGAAAATTCTAAGTGACAAGTGATGCAGGACCTTGAGTTCAGGAATCCATGCTGTGAATTGTTTACTAAGTTTCGAGTTAATAGGAATTCAAGCGTTTTCGACTTTACATGTCGCTCCATCATTTTAGACAATACTGATGTGTGACTAATCGGTCGGTAGTTTTTTACGTCGTACAGTGAACCTGATTTATGACGGGGGATCACTATGGCCTCCTTCCACTGAGCCGGTATGATACCAGAATTCATAGATAAGGTGAACATATTCAGTAGCAGCAAGGGGATGTCATCTCCCCCGAATTTTATGACAGCAGATGGGAGATTGTCCGGACCAGTGAAATAGGAGGTTTTAGTGGACTTTATGAGCTTTTGGATATCGCACAGATTGAATGTGATGTTGCTGAGTTGATCATTCGTGTGATGTTGCAGATCCAGGGTCGCAGGATCACTACATTCATTAAACGAGGCAGCAAAGTAGTTGTTGAACATTTCGCTGGTATAAGTCGGGTCACTCACTAAGCATTTATCTGCAGACATAAGCGAGATAACATCTAAGTTCTGTTTAGCGGTCTTTCGCTTAAGCAATCTGAATAGTTCCTGTTTTCTATTTTGGCTACCGAATGCTTGCTTTTCTTTATCAATCAGCATGGCCTGATTGGCATTCTCCTTAATAGTAACCAATTGCTGGTGCTTTATTAAGAAACAGAAGTCATTGGATTTACGATACGCCTTGAGCAACTTTTTGAGCTTTACAGCTAATTTGTGTTGTGTAGGCCTTTCTCCAGAGGTAGGTAGTTTTATATGCTTTCGCGGAATCGACACATCTACTGACCGATGGATGATGTTATATAACTCATCTGCTGCAGTCTGAGGGTCGCTAGCGAAGAAGAATGTGTCCCACTGCGCCGATCTTATCAAGCTTGCAAAAATGCCCCAGTCAGCGGTTTTGTAGGAGCTGATAGTCATATGTGTTTTTGATGAGGGTGTTTTTGACAACTGAGCATTGACACTGAATGAGAAAGAGATCACTTTGTGATCACTACCGGGAAGATGTCCCAGTATCTCGGTGGAAGCTGCAGTGAAGCCGATAGTAAAAATCAAATCTAATATGTTATTCTTTCTAGTGGGAGATGAGACATGCTGAGTCCATCCACATACATGCACAGTGGCGATGAAGCTTTTAAACTTATTGATCGTTTACGCTATGTGCCGACTAGTCTTAACCATTCTTGTACACATATGTACGGATATTGTCATGTAAAGCAATACGCGTATATTTTTGAATTTTAAATGGCTCCATTCTTTTGAAATGAAACTATTTTATCATGGCTCGATAATTGGATCTTTCGGTTTTCAACAAATCACTGACTCCCTATTTACTTCTAACCTCTGTGGACAGATAAGATACATCGTTAGATTCACTTACATGTTACGAAAGACAGTGAGACAGACGACTTCCGTGCACTCCATCTCTGCAGTCTAGACACTGCGTTTGGTTATACAATTATTTTTCAGCCCACTTTGGGACTGCTCACTCCTCCGGTTGCACTTTTCTTGTGTCCCGTTCTCCCCCACTCTACAGGTCCACGTTGGGCGCATTAACCAAACCTACTTGCCCGCACAACATTCAGGTTCTGTTGCACGACGTCTGTCAGAAGAGTGAGTGTTTATTCTCAAGCAATCATGTTCTCATTCGTATTATTCACAGCTCTTTTTGACCTCAATATGCGCACATCTTTGGCGCACTTTTGCAGCGAAATTCTTCATGACAAAACTCTGACACATCCACTAGTCAGACAATGCGAGATCTACAGCCTTATTTGGTTCTTGGGAAAGGAAATTCATACTAAAGTGGAGAACGCCACATGCCGTCGTCTGTCGGTGATGCGCGGAGTATACAATTGATCGACATGGGATTCACGAAGGGCGCGTGTCAACGAACTATAAAACTAGTACGAACTGGAAACCCCTTTACACATTGAGCATCCTTGACGGTCAGAAAGACACCTTACAAAGACCGAGATCATAAACAATTTGGAAGCTGAGGATCCTGGTTCATCAGAATAAGTAGTGTTGCACGACGAATAAGTATTGGAGTGCGAATGGGCAAATCGAACTGAAACGGCCAAACCATGGACAACTCTGAATGCACGTCGGGAGTTGCAGACGCTATAATCACCATTCCTTGTGTATCGCCGGAAGGGTGATCATCCCGAGAGAAGATAGTTATGGCGGTATAAGCAAACCTGATGTTGTATCGTTGTCCAAGCTTCCCGCGCCGCTTTAAATTCAATAGATCTACACGCCGTTAAATGCGCAGTCCAGGACACTTGAAAGTAATTTGTACGGTAGATACCCTGAAGTCGAATATGAACTATACGTTTTCGACTTCTTAGCTTCTTACGGCGAAGTGTCCGTAGCCTTCGTGATTCTACTGCATTCGCCACATGTATTAGCTACATAAATCACACACACACACACACAGTATCACGCCTGTGTGGCTCATACCCCAAGCACTCTCTCATGCCGTAGCACAGTTGGGTTGCTTTTTTGCCCATTATTCTTTACATTCAAATGCCTTTGCCACTTCCGTAGCTGGTAGGCGCCACACCTCCATAGACTCTTCACTCCCAAACGGTTGCAAGCTGGGGTGCTTCACTCACACAGACTCCCATGGGTCCAGATACCGAGACAGCTGGCCGTTTATTCGCATTCCTACAGCTGTGTCTGTTTTTGTAGGCCCATTCATCAGGTGCTATCCACCTGTTCACACTCTATTCGCAGTATCATCATCAACTTCCCGCGATGATGTTCAATAGTGTCATCGCCGTAGCACCAATGCGCCATCTGTTGATGTGACCAATCCGTTGCATCGGTTGTCCGTGGGAATCAACGATGTATCAGGGCGGGATCTGTGGCAATCAATACACACTGTGTGTGATCGTGTATATCTAGGCTTTGTATCACGCCGCACACCACATTATAACGCCTGCCTAGTTGTGATCCTGCCACTTCCGTGTTTGTTTTTCATTGTCATTGTGTGCGCTAACCGGCATTGAGCCTGTGTTTGGGTATCGGTTCGTACAATGGAATACAGTCCACCTGAAGATTACCGCAAGTCTGTTCTCTGCTATCTTTCGCCTGCTAAGGAGCCCTGTGAGAGGTAAGCTATCTCACTGTCATGGTACTCTGGCGATAGTTTTTCTTCCCTTGAACTATTATATACACCTACCGGTTCAGCTGGAACTGTTTATTCTGACATCCGTTTTTCTCATATCGCTTTTCTATTCCTTATCTCCTACCACATCATGAGGAATCTCAGCAAATGGTTTTTTTTCTTTGAAGCATCAACACTTGCAACTTAGCAACGTAGTATTAGCAACTTAGCGCTTTTTTTCTCTACTCCCTCTCGCTGTCAATCTTCCCTTCATTCGTCCCAAAGTGTAGCTCCTGCTGTAGACGCTGTGGATGTGACACTCGTGGATTCTGTCGTTTCTATTCTTTTCGTTTTACGATCACTGTGTTGTGATAGTAATAATTATTATTGTAGACATACGGGAAGCCGCACCCCTAATCGGCACCGCTCTCATTGTGCACACGGGCGTGAATAACATGTGCTTGATGGCGTATTTTTGTCTTTATATGTTCCCGGCACAACACGGGACTCATCGGACTGGGGTTTAAGTAGGAACGGCGAAACAGACACCCAAGGTTGAACATGTGAGAGTACACTGTGCACTTTCTACATGTTCAACATGCCGATATAATGGGAACCATGATGAGTTACTGCACGACTGTGATTTCGGAGTACGTGGGAACTAGAGGATAGACGTTGGTTTGTGATTGTTGTTTCTCTTGTCCTGCACAGAGAACTCCAACATGGTAACAGCAGTTCCATTGTTGTTTTATCCAAAAACCGTGATTTTCGGAGCTTCGTCAGGGGCGCTAGCTCACTTCATTTCAACAGCCTATTCCGCTAACTTGCTTTGTGTGAACATTTTCTATATGCACTTGCTCGAAATCTTTGCTCGCTGTTAAGACACTTGTTGGTCGGTGGCCGAGTGGTCTGTGTGATGCGGGCTGGAAATGCTGTGGTACCGACAAGCAGATGGTTAATCGAACGCCACTGGGCATCTCGCGCAGTACCAGACAAGTGCGGCGCGCGGCCTGATGGACGAGTGCCTAATCGAGCCAATCGTACAATCCACCAAGAAAGTCAAGATAATTTTAGACAGAATGAACGTGGCGAGCAAGCGTAAACCAATGGAAATGGAGCCAGCGACAGAATGCAAATAACAAGGATGAACCAGTGAGGTGGACTGTTTCACATAGTGTATTTACTCTGTAAATATGCGAGCGGGCCAGTCTTCTTGTTTTCCGGAGGACTACTCGACATGACGACAGAAGAAAAGAAACCGACGCGCCGGTTTTTGGTGAACAACCATCTATCCCACTGCTGACCGCTCTGCAGATGACTGAATGCACACTGCCAGAGAACTGGAGAATGTGGAAGGCTGACACTGTTAGATACTCAACCGATGGCGTACCAGTAGGCGATGTTCAGGCACGCTGCGGGTACTTGAGACACTGGAGCTCAGAAGGCAGGTGAGGAAGTTGAGTTTTCGTAAGTGCTGAGAAGATTCCGGGCGTTTTGCGAAGTGCAGGCAAATGAAACCTTTAAGATTTATTTGTTTTCTGGTCGCAATCGATCCCCAAGCGAATCATTCGAGCTTTACATCACAGAACTGAAACTGTTGCCGCGCAACTACAACTGCTGCAATTGCATGAGAGAGTCCTTGATACGTGCTCGCATTGTCATCGGCATAAATAATGATGAGCTCACTCGGTGCCATCTGAGACAAAGGAACCTGTCTTTTTAACCATATGTGGACATCTGCCTGAGTGAAGCAAGGACGGTGCAACAGTTCGAGCGTGTGAGAGCGGAAGCAAATACCGATCTGTGCGCGGTATTCCGAACGATCAATAGTCCGTCCCAGATACCCGAAGGACAGGGTCCGATGTGTCAGTTTTGCGGTCGTACACATCCAAGAAGAAAGAAGATTTGTCCAGCTTCTGGTCGAACATGTACAAAATGTTTCAAGAACTACTTTGCTCGCTGTTGCAAATCTGCCAAGCTCAGCTCAGTGGTCGAGAGCGTCAGCCAACGGATACAGGAATTTTCGTTAAACAACTTGGAAAATCCTGGAGTACATAAGCGTGTTTTCGCGATGCTTTTGATTCGAGGACGACCGATGCGCTTACAGCTGGACCCAAAGCTACTGTCAACCTCCTACCAGAGAAGCACTGTCTGCGAGTGACGTGTGGCACAACACAGAATTACCTCAGAATATTGAACGGTTGAAAGCTACAGCAGAAAAGTACCGCCACTTTGAAACCTATCGATCCGAGAAATGTCACAGAACACCAACTGGATTTTCTGATAGTCTCAGGAGACCCTATGCCTAGTTTAAGCATTGACTTTATTCAAAGTCCTGATTTTCTTTTTTTAATCATGAAACTTTTGTCCATTCATGTGAAGCTAGCATAGGTATTGTTGACAGGTACCCAAACATGTTTGACGGGATCTCAGGGAGATTCGAAGTGTGTGTGCTCATATATCCAATCCACTAAGCCGATAGTGTTGCGGACAAGAAGGATGCCTATCGCCTTAGGTGAGCTGCAGCCTCTTGCTAGTTTGGGTGTAATAGCCAAAGTTGAGGAGCCGATCGATTGGGTGGCGATTGTCACTAAGAAATCTGGAGAACTACGCGTGTGCATTGATCCAAAACCGCATAATGCCGTGTTCAGGAGGGAGCTTCATACACGACCAACATTAGACGACGTACTTCCGGCGCTATCCAAAGCTAGAATATTTACAAAATTCGACCTTGCTTCGGGGTTTTGGCACGTGTTACTTGACAAAGAGTCAAGCTACCTGACTACGTTTGGGACACCTTCCGGGCGTTTTCGCTGGCTTCGTCTACTGTTTGGACTGAAGATATCTAGCGAGATATTCCAGAAACGACTGAGGCAGGATTTAGACGATTTACCAGCAACGTTCTGTGTAGCAGTCGACGTTTTGGTTTTTGGCGCTACGCGTGAGGTGCACGACCAGAACCTCGACAGATTTTTGTAGCGCTGTTTTGAAAGGAACACCAAGCTAACACGAGCGAAGATCGAGTTGCGTAGGACGGAAGTGGTGTTTCATGGAGACGTGCTAAACTCCGAAGGACTGAGACCAGACCCAAAGAAAGTCAGAGCCATCAAACAGATGCTTCCTCCTCCTGACATGAAAGCCGTTAGCAGACTGAATAGGATGGTGAATTACCTAAGTCGTTTCTTGCCCAGATTAGCCGATGTAATAGTACCGATTCGGAAGCTGACGCATAATGGTGAGAAGTGGCATTCGGACGCGGAGCAGGAGAGAACATTTCAGAAAATAAAGGAACTGATCACGAGCGCCCCCGTTCTCGCTTACTATAACCCCGCACTCACTCAAGATCCAGTGTGACAGCAGTCAGTATGGTATCGGAGCCGTGCTCATGCAGAACGGTAAGCATATCGAATTTCGCACCCGAACGCTGACAGAAACCGTGTGTCGTTACGCGCAGATAGAAAAAGAAATGTTTGCATTGGTTTACGCCGTGGAGCGTTTCAAT